GGATTTTATTTATTACCTGCCCCCCTAATGTCTCTACCTTAATAAGGGACAGGACACTTTAGATCTCAGACCCTGTGTTCAGTAGGCCTTGAACTGTTGGGTATTACCTTTGCCCAGTGTATGACCACCAACTAAGGGGCAGTAGGTCTTCTTGGGTGCACACTGGGCTAATCATCACTGTAGGCACTTGCCCTGGTGTTACGGGTTCCTAGTTCCTGGGGATCTGGCCATGTTTTCTGTCAGTGGCTTTTAGGTCTGAAATCTACTCAGACCAGAGCTGGGTGAGGGGTCATGACTTTTAATAGGGTGACTTCCCTCAGCTTCCTGCTCATCCATTCCTGTTTCCTTTGAATTGGTATGTATGTATGTATGTATGCATGCATGTATTAGGCAGGCAGTGCTCTGTTGAGGGACCATCTGTTTTGCTCCTAGGAATGCTATCTCTTGTTATCTGTTGCCACAACTCGGCCAGTTGGCCTTCCTTGCCTGGCACGCTGCCTTGTTGGTCGTTATGATAATTGCTACCCCTGACTTCTGGCAGTCACATACCATCTCCAGGCCGCTATTGCTGTGGGGCCAGGTTTAGCTGCCGAAATCAGGAGTGGCCACAAAGCTCATTATCAGTAAGTCACACTTTGTGACCACCTCTCCTAAGAGTGGAATCATTGGGTTATCTGGTAAGTGAATGCTCAACTGCCAAAATGTTTTCCAAAATGTACTGTGTTACACTATGTCCAGCAATCTGCAAGAGACCCATTGTTCTACATCTTTGCCAATACTTGGTACTGTTGATCTTTTTAAAATTAAATTTTAGCCATTCCAGTAGGTATGTAGTACATCTCATTTTGGTTTTATTTTGCCTTTCTCCAGTTACCATTGATGTTGAGCATCCTTTCTGGTGATTGCTGACCATTCATGTTTTCTTTTATGAATTGTCTGATTCAATCTTCTGCCATTTTTAAAAATTGGGTTATTTGTGTTACTAAGTTGCGAGAGTTCTTTATATATTCTGGATACAAGCCCTTTGTCAGATATATGTATTGGAATATTTTCTTCCAGTTTTTTTTGTTTTTTTTTAATTTATTTGCGAGAGAGAGAATGAGAGACAGAGAACATGAGAGGGAGGAGGGTCAGAGGGAGAAGCAGACTCCCTGCCGAGCAGG